CTCTCTCTCTCTCTCTCTCTCTCTCTCTCTCTCTCTCTCTCTCTCTCCTCTGTCCACTCCGATCCCCGTCCTGCTGCACAGCGCAGCAGCCGTGCTGCTGTCACAGCATGCGGGCCCACCGCTGACCTACATACACCCTCTGTCCCCAAACAGGCAGACGTCTCGCTGTGTCAGCCGCCGTGCTCGGACGCTCTGCTGAGACGGCTCAAAGCTGCACAAGGTCAGACTCGCGTCCACGGATGTGGTCTAGATAATAAACAAAGACCTAATCATGCAAAGCTCGGAAAACAACAAGGGGGGGGGGGGGTTCTGTCCAACTTATCACCCGGAGTTAAAAGAGTTATGCAGCTTTTGCACGTTTTTACCATTTGCACCAAAGCACCTCTTTGGCGAGATGGGTCCACTGACACTTCATCTGCACGTCTCAATTTACAATGGTCTGCAATGGATAGATGATATTTCATGAGAACGTATCCTCTCAAAACAATTATGGTCCACTTTTGCTGCTGCCTTTTTTGCTTTTAAAGAGCAGAGCAGAATTGAGTTGTGGCTGGATAACTTATATAGATATGAACATCCAAAATGCATTTTGGGAAAGGAATATGTGTGTGTAAATGATGAAATGACTGATGCCCGCATGAATTACACTTAACTGCCTCAGTGCCGGGGTCCTGGTATTGTGCATAATAGCTCACTGGCTCACTGTCACACTGTCATGGTTTACAGGGACACTGGAATGGTAAGTAACACATGTGCCTTTCCTGCTATGACAAGTCAAAAATGTCTGCTGTGGATCATTTGGCCCATCAGTGTCGAGATATGTCGTCATCTTACACTTCTTAAGAGTTCCTATCTTCCAGACAATTTATGATTGAGAATTAGGAAGTAGAGGTGAAACATATAAAGGTTTGATGGACATGTTCTCCGTGTCCTATGATAAATAGGAATGACGTGCAAAAAAGAAAAACATAGATTTTCTGGTGATCCTTTCAGAGCGGTGAGAGCATAGAGATGCAGGCAGTGATTTAAATTGCACTCCCCGGAGAGGCGTGTACAGCGGGCTAATGTTACACTATCACTGCCCTGACACTGCTGTCACAGCCACATGTGACAGTTGTGCCTCTTCTCTACTAAGCAATTAGAATATCAATTCACTCCTTGTCATAAAACTAGCATTTCACACCAGGATCTAAATCCCATCCGTTCTTGTTGCCCTACAAACCCAAAGTGCAGTAGGCTATATATTTGGTCAAAATTGAGTTAAGAACTGGAATCTGAGCTTATCATAAAAAATATTTTACAATAGAATATGTAATTTGGGTTAGAAAAAAATAAATAAAAGAATTAAGAACTACAAAAACGGTAAAACCATCCCACAGTGACCACACTCCTGTTAGCTAAGGCCAGCTGCTGGTGAGATAACATTAGCTTAAGCTAATTTACACACTATTTCCTGTTTTCCCTGAATTGAAAACTATATTTGGATGCTTCAACATCTTAGTGATCGAGTTCGTCATACCACATAAATAAGACCCGAGGCTAAAGCATAAGTCATAACGCAGTAACACCACGTAAACTAGGCCTGCTAATAGCTAATGAGCCTAGCTTAAAGTCCCAGTGAAATGGTAGTCAGAGTGTCTTTAGTTGGCTTCAGTGGGACATATTCCCCAGTGAAACTGGGTGAATCAGAATATTTGGGGTATTTACAGTTTAAATCATATCCTTTGCATTTGATTGGACCACCAAAAAACAGCGGCGGGCTTAGAATGTAGCACGCTGCTCACACCTCCATGGTTGTTAAAAGCTGCAGATTGATGGTTGGATGGATGATATTATTGGATGGTACTAGTTTACGTAAGCACACATCATATTTTGTTTTACAGGAAGAACAGATGATTCCATTTTGATACAAAGAAATGTTTTGAATTTTATTTTGTATATAATGTCAAATAGCTTCATGATATGACTGATGTGATCTTCCATCTTCCGACTCTATAGTGTAAGCCTTTAAAAATATATATTTATATGTTTTTGATTTATTTATGTAATTATTTCATTGTTCATTTAGTAATTTGTTAAGTAGAAGGTATTTTATGCGCCCTTTACATTGTTTTAGTGAGCGCAGTAAGGGCTTTTTAGGTTTATGTAAGATCTGTGACAATGATTAGTAATCTGCTTAACCATTGTGCCTCACTTTAAAAAAGCTTTGCTCTCATGTCCTTAGAGGACAAAACATGTAAAAAAAACTGACATAAAATTCTGTATATTGCTGTTATTGTCCACTTTCACTAAGTTAACTCATTTAACCAACATCTATCCTGATCACCATATATTTAATATATGTATATGGGATATGTCAATGATTAGCAAAAAAAAGTTATTTTGATGCATTTATGTTTGTGCAGGAAAATAGTATTTATTTTCCCCAAAGTGAGAACATAAGAAAATGTCTCAATCTGGTGGAAAATAATAAAACCTACAATTTTGAAGCCGGGGATCTGGACTGAAAGTTGAATATAATAGGAATGCCAAAATTATCAACAACAAAAAAATCCCCAAATGTCCTTAAGTGAGGCTTGAAATGAAGGTTTCACAACTCCTATATCTGTTACACATTTTGACTAAGAGCCTGAACAACCCTTCCCTGTCCCTGTCCTCAGTGCTCTCTGCCTTTGAGAGACACGTCTGTCACACAGACCATGAGGGGTCAGCAGTGTTTCACTGTTGGGAGGCACCAACTTGCCACTGGCTCGGTCTGTGAAAACAGATTCCTTAAAGCGCCTTCTGTTTTCACTAGTGATCTAAATATTAATTTGGATCCATAAATCAAGATTGTGTTTTTGTGTCGGAGCGGCGGAGATGGCACAGTCCCGACCGGTGCGTTCATTCTGAGTCTCGAGCCATGCTGTACATACTGGATAATGGGAAAACTCAATATGACAGCTGCCTCCTAAATTACAATATACAGTATGTAGCAGGGCAGCAGGAGGAACTGGGCAGTTTTTTGTTGTTGTTTTTTACCAGACGTAAATGCATCCTGACACCATAATCAGCATTGCTATCTCATGAACAGACAAGAGTTCCCTCTAAAGCGACACACTGCAGTGGCCAAATATGTCAAATGACTTCATGTCCAGAAACGCAGGGAAAAACATTTAAGAACACAGATTAGCTCACGGCTGCACGAGCGTCCACGTGAGCGGCCCCACTTTTTGTTGTGGGATGTGAGCGCCATAATTATTGGAACAGCAGTGTATCTGAATGTCCTTGATCATCAGCGCAAAAAAAATCTTTTTTGTCTGTGTTTCATTTTCGATTCATGTTTCGGAGAGATAACTTTTCTCGTTTCTTTTAATAAGAGCATCTCCTGGCACTGTTTTAAAGGGTACTTTCACCCCCCCCCCCCCCCCCCCCCCCTTCCCCATCATATAATTGAATAACACGAGAAGGTCCACATCTCGCTCATTATGGAAGCTTTAGGCAAATATAAAGAACCAGTTTACAGCCTTATAAACTCCCACGCCCCGGATGCTCCAATTTCCTGCGGAGTCTAATTCAAATGTTCCACGGTTGAAATAACTTGAAAGGCCACGATGACACACGCTGATCTGTGAAATCTTCTCCGAATGTCTCCTTTATGAAAGTTGGGATGAGAGGAATTCATTAAACATCTGTGGGTGGCATAAAGACAACACGAGACTGAGGCTCTGCGGTGGCAAAAAAAAAAAGTCTTTGCCAAACTAAACTGTTTTCCAAATCGGAAATCTAGCAACACGCCCACGGCCACTAATTACTTGACCCTGTTCTTGCAGAACCTCCTCTACTGGAGTTATTTTAGGATTCACACAAGGTCTATCAGTTCATCACATTAATGCAGACCAGGGTTTCCTTGAGACAAAGCCTCTCCATTATGTCGTGACCACGGACCTTTTGCGTCGTCTGCTTGAGTGGCCCATTCCCTCGGGCACGTGTGTGTGTATCATGCTGGCAGGCGTTGACATTACTGATGCGCATTATGCGTTGCGCATATAGGGTCATATGAGCCTTGTTATTGTCATTGATATAATGTGAGCCCTGAGCCCCCACTGCACGTGCCACATGCACTGCGGCCTGGTTGAGGGTGATTGATATGAAACTCTGGCGATGAGAGGGCTCAGATCAGGTGTAAGGAACCAGCGGGACGAGGTTTAAAGAAGACACAGGGGGGCTTTCTTCTCACAAAATAGCAATGAAGCATTTTGCAGATCTACAATACGGACAAATCTGTGTGCGTGGCCCATTTGAGGTGTGTGTTTTTTTTTCATTTTTTAAAAAGTTTTGAAATGGAATTTACGAGGATGCGCTCTATCATTATGTAACAAGTCAGAAAGAGTACATTTGTTTCAGCTCATGTGGTTCCATCAGAAATTGTTTAATATGCACAGCCTCGTTGTTGTGCACACTCTGATTGGCAACCAGGGCCGGATTAACCCACTAGAGGGGCCCCATGAGCTGTGGGCCCCCCAATCTATTGCCGGAGATGCTATAAGCGAGTGCATATCCTTTGCGGAAGCCTTTTTTCGGCACCCGTGTACGTAAGAGGCGCGACACACAGCTGGAATAATCTCAAACCACAGCGGGGCTCTACAAATGTAGCTGTTGCTTTTGTATTCATAGGCTGAAGTTATTTGAGACGATCAAATGCCGACATCAAACATTCTGCACCTTCACAGTTTGTGCGGCGCCTCGTAAGGCCGCTGTTCTACCCGCATTCCTCAAAGACATTTCACCTTGATGTAATTTATTGTGCTCGTCCAATTCAACCGCTGTGATCGCAACGAGATCGTAGTCGTAGTCAGGAGTGTGTTTCTGTGTATAGAATCTATATCACCCAAATCTATATTAATAGAATTGAATGAATCGTGCGGGCGTGGTCCTGGCTCCCCCTTTGCTCCCAGGGGCTGCTCGTCGTACACACCTGTCTGCAATAAAGCTAATCATTCCTCACAGTCTGCACACCTGCTTCTCATCAGCCTGCAGTACGTCTCCCTTAAATCCCTGTTGTTCTGTTTGCTCCCCTTGTGTAACCTCAGCCCACCCACATCCCTCGTTCTCGTTCAGCCTGGTCTCTCAATACGCCTTGTTAAAACTTCACCAGCCTCAGTGTCCTGTGTTTGGGTCCACCCTTGAGACACCGCAACAGTAAGTCCAACACCCACTCTCAGTTAGCCTCAGTTAGCCTCCACTAGCTTCTGTAAACTCAGTGCAATCTCTCATTCAGCATCTTGTGAGCGCAGAAATAACTGCAGCTTCTGTTGAGCCGTGATGTTTAGCCCACAAACGTCTAGGGCTTATGGGAAATAGTGTAAGATAAAGGCAGCTCAAAACATAGGCCAGGCATATACGAAGCAAGGTATTGTAGAATATATACTCGCCTGCATGTCATTACCAGAACCATTAGAGAGTACAAGACTTCGGTAACAGCAGTCAGCCCAGCATGCGCAAGACTAGGAGGCAGCTAAATGGAATGCAGCCGTCGTTCATTGTATGATTTACACCTGTGCTTTTCCTACTGTCACCTGTCGACATGTAATTGGTGAAAAGGTCCACAAAGACCAAGCATTTTTACTTCTATTTTTTTGTCTCAAAAGTGAAAAGAACAAACAGTATATTTCCTTCAGCGATCAAAGAGGCAGCATTTAGACAAAGCTGCTTAAAATCTATTTGATTTGGCTTTTTAGACATTTAAGCTACTGTCGCTTCAACTGAATTAAAATATCAACATTTCAACGTGAACCAGTTTCTACATACATATAGAAACAGTCTCAAAATGCTGTAGAGATACCAGTTCATGTTCAAACTTTCAGCCAAATTCACTCAAACCAAGACGTCAAGGCATCTTTTGAATTGCAAATCGGTGATTTGTGGGAATGACTTGCTCCTCTTGCAGTAGATCAAAAATAATAACACCTGCCATCTGATTCGTATTCCTTTTAAAAATGTACATAAGCCAGTTCAATTTTAGAGTGAGTGACCTTTCACAAAATGATTTTTTTTTTTTGTAGGCTACCTGTAATTTATTACTCTTCGCCTATTTCAGCCAAGGTATTTGTTAATGGATGAAACACCTCAGACAGTCCTGAATCTGTTCCTGACTGGATTTGCTGTAACATGGATAATGATCAGTGTACTCTTCTTAAAAACCTACATAGCATTTGTCCCTGTGTGGCACTGTATCCAGCCTGTTTGCTATGTCCCTGTGTGGCACTGTATCCAGCCTGTTTGCTATGTCCCTGTGTGGCACTGTATCCAGCCTGTTTGTTCGAGGAGTCAGAAATTCAAAAGAACGTACAGCGATTTTACTCCGAATGGGATTTACACCTTTTCACCACGTAATGACTGAATCAGCCTCACAATGTCTTTTTGGTTTCCTCAGGAGCACATGAATAAATTAAACGTGTCTAACATCTCTTGCCTTTTATGCCTCAAACAGTGGCCCTTTGATAGAAACAAGGAGGCTCCTCCATGTAATTACATTTGATCATGTTTGCATATGTCACTCCCACTGTCTCTGTCACGCTCCCTGATTTCGGATGCTCCTGGGAACCTCTTCCTAATCCACAAGTTAATGTCTCAACCCCTTCCTCTTTTTTAAATCTTATTTATTTTAATTTCCCAAGGATGGATGGATGAATTGGAGAAGCAGAATCAGACATCCTGTCTGGTTTATCTGGAGGAGAGAGATAAGTGTGGATTCCGCCTCTTTCAGGGAACGCACATTAACCATGCCTCGGAGGGAGAGCGGGGTGTTTGGATGAGGGGGGGGAGGGGGGTGGGGGTATCTGTCTGCCGGGAGCGCACAGCTTTCACTCACTTGGAAAACTGTGAAAATGTCCCCTTCACACCCTCGGCAGCTCGGCCGAGCTCCGGCGCCATGTTAGTGGCGATGAAAATGCCTGCGTGCAGTGGCATACTTGCAAGTGGGGCGTGCAATGTTATCCAGAGGTGTTGGACTGACAAGTCTACAACGTGCAAACTTGTATCCTACAGTGACTCCTGACCCTGACCCCGTTACAAACGTCTGGAGGAGAAACCACGCGCAAGTTTGAGGTGAGATTCGGCTTTGTAGGCGGAAACTTAACAAAAGCACACATGAAAAATGACTAAAACTGCAATTTATTTATGCAACAGAAGAAAGTATTTATTTGGGATACGCATCGGCAGTACAAATTAAGAGACCGTAAAACCTACACCTTTCAGCTATTTTTCTCCACAGAAAAAAACAGGTTTTGAATTGGAATTAAAAAGACAATAGTTTTCCATTTGATACCTTTTTTACATACGCAGAGATCTTAAAAGTTCAAACCTGTCAAGAAAAAAGGCTCCACGGTTTCACTCTGAAATCCTTATAAAAAAGAAGTTAACATTCAAAACACTGCAGTACGTTAATTTATTGAAGAACAAAAAGGACATGCAACAAATAAAACATTTCATGTTTTACAAATTGTTCGTTTTTCTTTTCATGTCTCTTTTCCTTTTATATTCAAAAAAACTAAAAAGCATCATCACATGAAGCTTCGATAATATTTGACAGGCAATGTGAAAAGTAGAGTTAAATTATTATTATTTTTTCTTCTTCTTCGAGGGGTGCAAAAACAATCCTTATGTTTGCCTTGCATGGCCGGCCGGTGCTGTCAATTCACTCCAATGACTTCAGGAGACACGACTGAGGCAGGTTTCTGTGTAGGTCTCTTCAACGGTGACCCCCCCCCCCTCCCCACCCCCCTCGACTGTTATTCTGAGAGGGTGAGTCGAGGGGGGGAGCCGCCCCGAATGATCCAAGTGAGTTTTGTTTGGTGTGATCATGCCGTGGTTGATTTCCACGCAGTAGCTCTGGAACATCCATGATTTCATACATGTGTAATAAATACAAACACACTGACGACTGTTAAAAAAAACCAACCTGTGGTTTCAGGCTGTAGGTTGGGATTGAGTTTTGTTTTCCACGAGGGTCCGGTTAAGCTAAAAAACAATACCAAGGGCGAGGTTAATGCAAACCTTTCATGTCGCCTTCGTTCAGACAGTAGCCATCTTGGAGGCAGGCTTGTGTCGGTGGTCTTAGTAGAAAACAATGAGGAGGACTTTGCCTTAAATCCAACAGGAACTCCATCGGGCTGCGTTAAAATGGCTGCTGTCCAAAATCAAAAGATTCAAAATCAAAACGAGTAAAGGTGCATATCTACATACTGTATATAGAGCATTCCTCAGCTAATTCACATATAATGGTAGCATTAAAAAAAAGAAACAATCCTGTAGCAAAGCCAACATTATATCAAATGAAAAGAAAAAAATGTTTTTCACAAAATGGAGACATAAAAATATATCCAAACATTATCTGGATTTGTGTGCCATCAGTGTATTTGTTTCCGTTTTTAATTTATATAAACATTTCTGTATTCCAACTGCATTTTTTTTGGCTTTGAATACAGAGTATAGAGCACAATGAGATGCTCGCTAGTACCGTAGATGATAAAATCCTGAAAACCAATCCTCTACCAAAAGAGGAAGAAAAAAAACATCGATAAAGCTGAAGCCAATGTAGAGGATACAAATTCTGCCTTCTTTTTGGTATCAAAGTATGCAAATGATATCTCGTATACATGTTCGACCACATACTATACTGTACATACAACAGAGGTCACAAATTTAATTTCACATTTTGGATTGGTTTGTGTTGAATGGTGTAACGTTTTTAACGTCATTTGTAAATCAAAAACAAAAAGTGAATGGACTCTTTAACACCGGCAATGCAAACGCTGCAGTTCTCTTTCAACTATTCTACTTTCTTATCATAGAACAGGGGTTACGGGATAAGTAACCTCACGTTTTTTCCCGCACTGACTGCATATGGAGTTGTATTTGTGCCACAAACCTGAGCGCAAACGCAAAAAACTGCTCAGAATGCACCATCGCGCTCTCAGGATTATCCCACAAATATAATTCCACAAATGAAAAGTGAATTCAGAGAAAGGCCATGCGACATGTTCAATCCCAACATCATGGCACCTTCAAATCTGAAATGCAATTTTTTTGTTTGTTTTGGATTTGGTTACCAGCAGTATTTGGCTACATTGATCTTACTGATACACACTGATCATATACTGTATGTGCACTCTCTTCCATATGCCACTCCTATATGTTAAAAATGTCCTCTGTGTTGTTTACTCTTCGTCATTTACAAATGTTACCCTTTTGAGATCAATCAGTAGGTGTTATTGTGCTTTAATGCATTTTAATGCTTTAATGCTTTAATCCTGATGCCGTCGATTTAGTGTTTCAGGTCAATTTTTCTTTGAAGATGGCGGCTGCAGCCAACAAGCACAACAGGACGTCAAATATCTTCATGAGTCGCGCTCCATTTGTTAAGTGCTTGCGTGAAAATTGTGAATTCTTTGCATTATTGTACTGCAGATGAGCAGAAATCCTGCTTCTCTGGCGATAAAATATAAAATGCCTTATATGTCACTGTCTGCTGTAGAAGTTCTGAATATAAATCGAGTTATTACCTGACTAATATGACTGGACTAACATAATAATAATACTTTACAAAGTATGGGGTGGAAAATGGAAGGACATAAAAACGTAACTGTATCAAAATCCCCCTCCAGGGTTGAACTCTGGCACTGTGGACAGAGTTCACAGTGCTCTGTGAATAAAGACAGAGGTGTTACGACAGGGCGTGCTGAGGTGTACAGCAAAATTCCAATCATTATAAAAATTTGTAAAACCGAAGAAATATTCTCGTGTTGTTGTCGAATCGAGGTAGTGTGGAAGCATTTCAATTTACAAGTCGTGGGGCGTTACGCTGCTAACTGTGTGAACACATAATAACAATGATAATAAGAGAGATACAAAGAGGCAACATGGACATTGAGTGGAAACTGTACAAACTGAAGTGTGGATGTGAGTCCCCTACACAGGCTGCTTACGATGCTGTGGTAGTCCGGATAGGAAAAGTGAAACATTTGTCTGCAAATGTCATCCCAGACCCCAGCTGTGTCCCGCTGCGTGACTACATACAGTACGTCACGTCCAGTCCTGATGGGGATTGATCTTAAGTTTTAGGGGATGTGGGTGGGAGGGCTGGGGGGGTTGCAGTGATGGAGGAAGCTGGAGGGGTGAGGGTGGAGGATCAGTTGGAGGTGTCGGAGTGTACACTTCCGGGTCCTTCTGTGGGTGAAGTCACTGACGAGGGGGTCGGAGCATCCTGCCAGACGCCGTTTGCCTGAGAGGAAAAAAAGAAAAGGGAGAGACTCATTACTTTCATATTCATTACTCAATGCAGCCACGTCACAACACAGTGAGGTACAACGAATGAAGGTCCTGAGGGCAAGGTAGTGTACGAGCGCAGCGTGGAATGCTGGGATATACGCAGCCTTGAGCCAAATGGCCTCCCGGATCAGAGGAGAAGCTAACCGAGCTGGAATTACAGCTAATATTTCAGAACACGACTGACATAAAGAAATATAAAATCATGGCAGCAGAAAGGGAGTGAATTACAGTCCCCGTCCCGTCATACACCGCACACTTAAATTCATATAATGAAAAAAAAAAATAAATCTGCGAAAGGAGAAGCTGTGCGAGGTTTTGTCTTGACATAAATTCCTGTCACTTGCGTTTTAATTAATATGAATAATATATGTGAATTTTGTGAAAAGACCCCCGAAACAAAACAAGTACAATCAACGTCATGTGCACTAATTGTGACGCTGACAGCAGGAATTAACATACAATAAGAGCAATGGAGGCAGGCCTGTTAGAGAACATTTAGGATATTAATAGTACGTTTTAAAGCCATCAGAATAACTGGAAATGGTCCTCGACAGCCTTTCATTTAAAAAAAAAAAAAAGCCTGTGATTTAAGATGTCAGACGGTAGTGTGTAATCATAAAGTGGAGGGGTCAGATCGTAGGATGTCTGACTTTGCCTGTTTCAAAATTGTAATCAGGTCTGTAATCATCCACAGCATGCATTATGTATCCGCGCAGTCATTATCCAGTCATTTTGTTATATTTCAGATAAGGTAGTTTCTTTAACTCTCTCGTCATTTGCTCAACTCTTCACTCATAAAATCTGTCTTCAGACGTCTGGAAAGCTATTTTCCTGGATGCTGCATGTATATTATTAACAAAAACACAGAGTGAGATATCTAAGGCTGTTGCAGCGGCATTTTTCAGAGTTATTTCTTTAATTTAAAAATAAAATAAAATAGTAGCATCATTTGGAGCTCCTCTGAATTAAAGACCTAAACAAGCCAGACAAGGTTGAGATGACATTTAGCTATCGCCTACAAGATTGACAACTTTGACAGAAATTACCGCCACTTGGAAAAATATCATTATCAAACAAGACTGCGGAGCGCATATTGCAGTGAGGCCAAAACTCGTAACTTACTAGCCTTAGCTACATAAATCACAGGCGAACAGCCGAGAGACAGATCTCCCGCTCTTACATTATGCATTGCGGGGCTTCTTTACAGGGTATGAAAGTGAATAACACAGCACACTGTGGCAGTGTAAGATGTGGTAGAGCAAGCAGGCGTCCAAGGAGAACCGTATCTGCGAGGTCAAAGGACTGAGAGAGAACAGGGCCTGCATACGTTAGCGGCCTCTCAGGGCTAGCACAGCTGGCTGCGGGGGTGCGCTCCGAGGCAGCCGGGAAGCCCATTTGAATACACATACATGTTTTTGTACGGGGGGGGAAGACATTTCATCTGATTATCATATGGCCACTGAGGCACGACGGCGACAGCGGAGGAGCCCAGCCGCGGCTGTGACCGTCCTCGTCCTCTCAGCGCGGCTCGCTGTCAGGGCCATTAGTGTGGCAGGAACATGATCTGAGCAATGCGCTTGGATTGCTGTCCCAAGTCCACACTCTGCTCTCCTTGTGTCTGTCTTATCGATTTTCCCCTTTACGACACGGCTTGTCGCTGTGAATTTCCCCACTGTTTGCAGCCGCCAGCGCCCCGACCAACCCCCCTCCCCCAACCAACCCCCCCCACCCCCAACCAGCCCCCCTCCGAACTCTGCCACAAAATAAGACAAACACGAGGGGGAACGCAGCCCTATGGCACACGAGGAGTTGTTTCCTCTGGCGTGAGGTTTTATTTTTAGTGGGACGGTGGCGTTGTCTATAGTGGGAGCTTCTGGCCCCAGGGCTGCTAATCACGGGTCAGGTGGTCAGAGGGGATTTGAAGTCCAGTGCAGGAGGTGTCACCTGTTTGTGCAGTTTGCTCGCGGCTGACTGTACGTGGCTGCAGGTGCTGCGGTGGACCTGATCCGATGTGACAGGCTCAGACGGCGGCTCCGCGTATGTGTGGCCGGCCACATGCCTGCGTTCGGCGGGCAGCGGCCTGCCCGTGGCGCGGGCTATACAGAGGCAATCAACTAGGTGACCATGGAGCAGAGACAAGTCCCGCTAAGTGGCATTCTGAGCCCCATGGCTTTGAAATAATTGGTGGGGAGAGAAAGAAAGAAGAAGAAGAAGAAAACAGAATCCTTACATTGATGCCCTGCGGACTGTACATCTGGTTGGCTGTGAGTCCTTCACTGTATCCGCCTGTCTGACTGATAACATGGCGAAGGGTATCCACCTGAAACATTCAGAGACAACAAACAAAGCAAGGTCAGAGTCAACACAAGGGAAGCTCAAGAGCAAAGAGAAAGGGATGACAAGACGACGAGAGGGACAACAAGGGCACACTGCTGCAAGTATATCCTTGGAGATGACAAAGCCCAATCAAACAAAAGAGGAACTCGATGAGGATAAAACTAAAGCCTTCTGCTTGTTGGAATACAAACTATTCACATGGTGAACACAATGTGAGAAATAGCCTGCCCTTGAGACTCTGTGAAGACGCTGTATGGTGGAGCCAGTACTAGCCTGTATAGCCCTTTATTTTCACAACGGACATTTTAACTTGCCATAGCAGGAAAGCCAACGGGTATGATGGCGCTGTTCCATTTAGGTCCAAACCTGCTAGTATTCCTACTTGAGACTGTTCACACACTGTTCCAAGATGGCTACCACCATTGCTAGACTCAAATTAGCTCAAAAATGTTACACCTGTAGCGCTTTGCTAACAAGCGGAACCAAATGCTAACAAATGGCATGTAGCGCCTTTAGAACTAACTTAGTGGACTGAATTTGGGTTATGATATTACTCGAATACGACTACTTCTAATGAATGATAATCATTACACCTGTGCGTGACAAGTCAAAATGTCTACTGGGATGTGTGGTGGGTCTGCCCCTGTATTATCTGCTGTGCAGCTCGCGGCCCTACCTGTGACTGCACGTTGGCTCCCACCTGAGCCCCCTGGTAGGAGTCCCCATTGAGAGACTGCACGTTCATGAACAAGTCGCCAGAGTTTGACATGTTAAAAGAGCCGCCAGAACCTGAAAGGACAGAGGGAGCAGTCGCATCACAGAGAGACAGAGGGCAAGCAGCGTAAGCAAGTTGGCCGGTCCAGGCAGCAGCCTGGAGGGGCGCCATGCAGAGGTTAGCTAGCAGCCAGACAGGCTCTGTTAGATGAGAGCAATGCAGCCATTTTAGAGGAAACCAATGGACACACGAGGACAGAAGAGATACAGCTGTAGCCCGACACAAAGGGCGTTTGTGTCAAGCATACATTTTTTTACCGCAAAACAGTAAAAAAAGCGAGTAATTCCTGTTAGTGATCTTAAGAGGTTATTCATGGCGAAGCTAGCTTGTGGTCCAAATGAACTTTCTTGCTGTCTAACCCAAGTTTAGAGTATTAATATGATTCATTTCAGAGTTAAATGTGCTTAATTCAAAATTCAGTTTCAAGTAAAGATGTGGTGGTGGAGTAGTGCTGTGGCAGATATACCAATGGTTCTGAATGTGTGCAGGCTCACCCTGTTTGACAGCTTACCCACCCTATGAAATTCATGAATAAATACAAATTATGATTGTTTTGTGTTGAGCCATTTTGGAATGTAATATATGAAGCAACTAAAAATATTAATATTCAACACCAGTCAGAAACAATGCTAAGCAGCCACAACTGGAAAGTAATTCTACAAAAATGTATAATGCTAATAAAATAAGTATAGCCAAATCTTTATTTGCAACTGTGCACAAATACTGAGTTCGAACACAATGAATAGACATGCAACAGTAAAAGCATTTGAATGTTGATTTTAGAATTGGGATGTCGACGTTATGAAAGAAGCTTTGAACTATCCAGTACAGCTCTCGATATTATTGTGTTATTTTCTTATTTATGTAGATAGCCTTTCATCTGACTGGCTCATTAATATAAAGTAATATAGACCTTTAAATATTTATTCAATTAATCCCGAAAGGAAATTCTAAACCAGAAAAAAAATATTCTTATAAAAAAATACGAATAAAAAAGGCAACAGAGTGATATTCTGTGTTGTAATGCGAGCTTCTCTGTGCTTTGTTGACGTAGTTGGTCTGTTGTTTTGCGCTGTTGGTGCTGTTAGCATCGTTAGCTGCTTGCTGCTGGCTCAGCTGTCACCATGTTGAGGACTGTGTGGAGGCAACCCCTCAATCCTAGATATGCTCTGAATTTGTAATTTAGCACCTTTAAGTATTCAGTGGTCGGCTCAGGATGTGATTAGCCTAGCTAGGAACCTTTCAACAGGATACAACAATGTAAACAAATCAGTTTTGGAGTGGTCTAAGAGCACATTTGTTCACTTTTTATGGATCTAAGCTAGTTGTTTGCATCTGCTTCCCATGCTTGTTCCATGCTAGGCTAAACATGTTTCCTGCTCTGAATACACAACCTTCTCAAAATACTGTGGCTTTAAAAGATGAGGCTAGCAATATTAATTTTTGTTACTGTTAACAAGTCTCATAAAAAGACCAAAATTAATTAATTAAATTAAGGACTTTACGACTTAGAAAATAAATCTTGGGTCATATTTATATAGTTTCCGTTTTAAAAAGGTTATGTGAATTTCCTAAATGGTGCTGTAGTTTTTTGCAATGTTACCCAAACAGAAGCAAAAAATAATGAATATTTAGGGTACTATTAACACGGATTTGGTGTTAATGACTATTTACATGACATGTATGTGAGATTGTGTTTCATGTGATAAAAAACCAGTGGCCATGTTGTTGGTCATTTGGTTTAACAGTGTGGCTCAATGATTGTTTTCACTCATTTTTGGAAAACAACAGAGCTCTATGGCACAGAGAAAGAAGATGTAGGAGGCAGTAATTGTTAGTAGAGTCAGTTATTGTTGATTTTGTCTTTTTATGTGATTTGTTGACAACAAGAAATGAAGGACAGAAAATCACCAGACCTATCCTCTGAATGTCAGTACAGCAGAACATGATGAATACAGAGTTAAATAGTCAAACATGAAGAATAGGCTGAAGACAAAAGGACAGTAAGCATAGAGGAGACTTGGCATGGGGCTGAGGTTGGCTTATCTCTGACACAGCTTTGCTCTAGAAGTGTACTTGTAGTTGTTAAGGTGATCCGTTCAGTATAATAAAGGTGCATTACCAGGTGATAGGCATACTCCCTTGTAGGAGAACGGCCTTTTTGTTAGTCCTAATTCCTTCATTCCTTACAAAGCACCAGCATTGAAATAGCCTCAGACTGATATACTGCAATGGTTATTTAGTTGTAGTGATGCACAGAGAGGAGGTACATGTCTAATAGCTGATCAGAGCCAGGGACTTCCTGTCTCACCTGCAGAGTTTGGAGTTGAGGGTGAATTTGCTTGGCTTCCATGTGAGGATGCATTAGCCGCATTCACGGCAGTTCTCGCAGCGTACATGTTGGCTTCTTCTTGGAACTTACCAATGTTTTTCTTGTATCTGATTCTTTTATTCCCAAACCAGTTGGAAACCTGAGCAGACAAACAAGAGAGGGTAGTTTAATGCTCACGAAATCTCAACACATAGAGCCTCTCCACATTTTGTTTGGGGGAGGGTGGGGGGGGCAAGCATTCAGGGATGTCAGGGTAGTCTTTTTAGCTTAGCCTTAATGGCATGTAACGCTGCAGAGAGGTAGGGGCTACATAGACTGGTGCTGCGAATCCACATTAGTGCCAGAATGGAATGATTGCCAATAACAGTCTCATTATGTCACCATGACTGCAGCTATCATCAGAACTCACGCATGCACCAATCAGTCAACATCCGCTAACACCCATTACTGCTAATGGACTCCCAGATGACGCCAGGGGGGTAATCCCAGCGCTAATGATAAACAACATTAAAATGAAAACCAAATCAATCCTGCAAAGTTTCCAATACACAGAGTAGGTAAACATCTCCTTTATTATGGCCGAGAAACGGAAAGTCTACAAATCATTCGGCCGCTGAGCAGCTTCCACAATCAGGCCCAGATGCATCCTCAAATCATTTGGTATAAATTAATGAAACCAATTGAGAAAACAATCCATTCCCAAATGATGGATTCAAAACACAAACTGCTGTTTACCTTGGCGTTGCTTCCCTTATTATCAATTCTCACGGGATTGAAACAACTTGAGCGCTAGAATGCAAAGATGAAAAAAACAACAACAAAAAAACAAGGTGCCTAAATATTTGACTCTTTTTGCTTGTCAGCAGCAATGGCACAAACATCTCAAGTGTCTTTAGATGTTTGGAAGTTACTGCCAGATTTATAGTAAACGGTCATTGCACTGCTCATGCCTCAAATGGCTGCAGTGCTACTTTTCAGAGGCTAATGGTCTTGCTAATTACTTCCATATACAGTGGGGTTATTTTCATGACTGATTGACCTATTGGTCTTTTTTTTATTAATCAATTAATAGTTTTGTCAAATGTTTTGATGAGTAGCCAAAATAACTTAGAATCCTGTGAAACTAAGAAATGTATTGTTTAAAGAAAAAAGAAGTGATTATATCTACGTATATCCGTAGTGTCAAAGCTCACAGAAGTACTTTTACTAATTCTGGCTGTTGTATATTTTGTGTATTATAAGAAAACTTGTTCCACTATATGATTAGATAAGAGCTTTGACAACAGTGTTGTCTCTAGCCTGTGTTACTTCAATAGAAACAGAGTCATTGGTCAAAAATAGCTTTGTCTGGTTTGAATTACAAAACGACAAACTCATGACATGGCATATATTTATACTTTGAGTCCTTTGTTGTCTCACTGAAAGGTACCGCTGAAAGATTAGAGGAGCTGTCTGTACCAATGACAGTCAGAAAACGTATTATTAGGTTACTTGCCAAGACGCTCGCAGCCGCTTTCGGAACGGAACTCGCGTTTGTCTCGCTCTTCTGTAACAGTGGCTTTCCTACAGGTGATGTGGTGTGGCGTGCACTGATCTGTGGTGTACCTGGGCAACTGTGATGGCGCACTTCTTCGCCAGCTCCTCTTTAGCCTCCTCGCTGGGGTACGGGTTACTGAGGTGTGAGTAGAAATACTCGTTCAGGATCTCTGTTGCCTGTTTGTTGAAGTTTCGTCTTTTCCGTCTGCAAAAAAAACAGCATCAGCAAGTTTAAAAACAGGAGCAGAGGCCAGTTTACATGAATCACAACAGCATAGGGTGGGCAGCGGTGTGGTTTGTTTTACTAACTAAAATGTTAACTTAATAGTAGACTGGTCTTCAAATACTGGGGTCTCTTTAGGTCTCCCCAGTCTTGCTTTGGATGAACATTGTTAGCTTATTGAAAACTACTGCCACACTAGAAACGTATCCATTTAGCTGCAGTTAACTCTCAGACACTTTGTCAGGACTCCAGAGAACAATTTGGCGCCGAACTGCTTCACTACAGCTGTTCATGAACAACTGAAAAGAAGTGTCAGGAGCAACAACAGCACAAAAAGGGCCATTATATTCTACTCAAAATCTACTATTACTGGATGTAACATGTGAAAAGATTGTGCTAATTAGATAATCATATATATATAAAACTAAGTAATGATGAACACAGCTATTGGTGTACGTATTCAGATCACAATATACTGAAAGGTAAAGTACATTAGGTTGACATTAAATGTTTGGTCAGATGGTTCTACATTTAAAATGAATTAACAATTTAGATTTAGAGAGTTCTTGTACTTTGTGTGGTTTGTGGTTTGTTAAAAAGAAAAGAATATTCCGTTATATTCTTTAAACCTGCAGCCTTTTTTTTGGCCACTTGGTGGCGGCGCAACAAAGCTGTGCGCACAACACTGACATGTGAAGTTGTTGTGGTGAACAGGTTTGCACACAGATGTATATTATTTACACATCTGGCAGACACATAACGTCATTTGAAAAGGGAAGAAAAATATCCGGCACCGATGAAACCAAAACAATGCTGTAATGTTCTCCATGCTTAATGCAAACATACTAACTAGAGCAGCTTTAAAGCGAGTATCACAACAGCATTGTTTTTGACTTCAAAGGTACAGACTGACTGTGTCTAATAGTAAACACACAGATGATCCTTTATATCCCAGCATGCTCTAAATACATGACAGCACACGAACACGGCTGCATTGATCACACATGAAATACTAACACACATTTTTTTCAAAGCTTTCACATGAACCCTGTGAACCACCCGCCCCCACACACACACACACTAACACCTTTTTAAAGCAGACAGATATCACATGCCGATGCCCACGAGTTGACTGACCCTCCATCTCCTGCACCTATCAGGTCATGTCTGCATGTGCCACATCTGAAAAGGGCTTTGCATAAGCTGCAGGGGAACCCTGTAAAATCTCTGTGCATGTATCCACCGGTGAGGAGATTTGTGCTAAAATCTCTGTCCCGCACTCCAAAGCCTGCTTGAGAATATGCAAATGTGCACAGCGTGAGCTCCAGCAGCCAGTAGATTAATCAGTGGCGCCGAGCATGGCGGTGCCTCTCAACCAGTGAAAGCTCTCCTCTCCCTCTCCCTTCCCCTCCGCCACAATCATTTGCAAGAGAATAGATAGGGAGCTTTGTAAGGGAGCGCATGCCTCATTTAAATGTTATGCCTCCGACTCAGACTTTTGAGTGACATTTATCCTCGGAGAAATGTATGCAAATCCAAAGCGTGCATCAAAAGGAACAAGCGATTACATTAAAAAAGGGAAATAGTTAGCGCTGTGGAGCACGCGGTGAACTCTTATTGGCCAGCGTTGCTGGGTATGCTGGTCCAAATGGCATCTGTAGATGCAAACCAGCCCGGTGCGTGTGTGTGTGTGTGTGTGTGTGTGTGTAAGTGGCATAACGGCATGTGTTACAGCATGTTTATAGCATGATAGGCCTCCTACAACGGCCATTCATATGGATATCAGTCCGAGCAGGGGAAGCACATGATGATTGGCAACGTTTGTTAAAACCCGGGAGGTTGTTTTGCAGTTTACGAGCGCGGCCCGCGCACGGAAACGCGCGCGCACTGCATACGGTGACAAAAGGAAACACACACCTGGCATCGAGGAAGCGGGAGCGCAGGATCATGACGGCCTCGCAGGTGCTCTGCTTGAGCTGCATCTGGATGGAGCTGAACTTGCGGTGGATGATGTTCACCATGCGCTCGATCTCTTTGGGCGAAATCGGCCGCGTGCGTGACTGCTCCCGCAACAGGTTCATCACGTGGGTGGTGAACTCGTTACACGCCTGTGAGGAGGATGCACGTGCACACACATAAACACACAAACACACAGGAATAAATATTAAAAAAAACAGTAAGACTTTAATGTAGCCAATGTGGCCGTATCAAATCTACCACTGCAGAAACCCACATCTGTACACACACACACACACACACACACACACACACACACACACACACACACAATGTCTTACAGTATTTAATAGTCACAGATGAAAAAAAGAAGGAAAAAAAAATGTAGTTCTGGGGCAAGCTCTCTCAGAGCCAAGGGGGAATATGAGCGCTGATATATTTCATATTTAACAGAAGTGGTGATGGCAGGGTGTTGAGAGGAACCAATGACAGCTGTTCCTTCTTCTCAGGCGCACTTTCACAGCACAGCCACCCTGAGAGAGGAACATGCCACAGCGTTTTTTTTCATTCATCCAGCCCGTGTGACACCAGGCGTGAATCTGCCACGATATTACACTCCCGACTCCGCGTCTCTTACTGTCTCCTCTTCTTTATTTCCTCTCCTCCCCGTCGATCTCTCTCTGGATTTAGCCGTGTCAGGCTGTGTCTGTGCCTGTCTATCTGCGTGTTCATCTGTCTTACTCGCATGCATCTGAAAGGGACGCCATTGTCATGAATTCATCGGTTATGAAGGCGATGAGAGGAAATCAACTCCAACAGACGTTCAAGACTATACTTGGAAACCGCACAGAGACACACAGCGTACTGCATGTGCTGGACTATTCTGGGCTGAGAACACAATCTGAAGGGAATTCTTACCGAGAGGGATACATGTCGAGGAAACATTTGAATCTACAAAGGGTTGCGGCCTGATTTTAGGCTGATCCTGCCTCAGCGAAGATAGAAACAGTCTGTGAAATGTATGTCAAAACAGCCATTAACCGACTTTGTATGTGAAGTGTTCTGACTGCATCGTTGGGTTGTTAAAGAGAGGCTGCGTGGAGAACAAAAGCATTGGCAAAACATATGCCGAGATGGAAGTGAAAGAAAATGACCATCACAATTCTCCAAAAAGCCAAAGTGACAACAAAGAGTGTCTTGTTTTGCCCAACAACTTTAAAATACTCACGATACTATCAAATAAGACAAAGAATAGCAGCGAATCCTCGCAAAAGAGTAGCTGGAACTTTACGTGTTTTGACTTGAAAAATTAATTAAACGGTTATTAAAAGAGTCACCGATCTATTGTCCTGTTGATCGACGTTTAGAAAAATAGTTTCAGCTGTAAATGCTTGGCTTTCATTACACGCCCTAATGGCTAAGCATTTAGCCAAGAACCATGAAGTGATGCAGGAAAATCCACTGATGTATTAAAGGGGAAGTCCACAGATTTAAATCATTTGTTTTTATTTATTCTTATTCTTTCTCACACTCATATCAACTGACTCTTATAGGCGAAGAGCACCCCATCGTCACTTTTATGTTGTTTTACATGTTTTTCTGTCTTCCTGTTGTATTCTGTAAGACAAATGTCTGCTATGACTGAAACAAAGCTTGTTGTCTGTGTTGTAATTAGGAAGAAAACGGTCGTAGTTTATCTTTTGTGGCTCTGGAGGAGCTCCGTTAAGAATTAGAAGGTAACCATGGAAATATGGTCGATTAATCAAGAAAATAATGGAAGCAGAAAGGGTCAAACATTTGCTTTTTTTCTCTTCTTTATATCATCGTACATGAAAGGTCTTTCGGGTTCTGGATTTACTTGGCAAGGACGGTCTAACACGATGGAATAAGTATTCTCCAAGTCTGGATGTCTTTGCTGCATCAGTTCTGATCATTCAATACTTTTAATATAGTCCCTCAACTTCATTAATGTTGGAGTACTTTTGTTGCTGTTACCATTATCTGTGACGAGGGCATTGCTTTAATTGGAGACAAAAAGACGCAATAAAAAAGTCCTATCAGGATTATTAACTCGGTATTATTAGTGCGTCTCAGGTCCGCTGTCCTCACCTGTTCGTACTTCTCCAGCTCTGTGTGGTAGATCTGTCTGATCTGGGTCAGCTTCGCCCTGTAGTCCGAGTGCTCCGTGGAGTTGTCCGCCGCCGCCGCTCCCGCCCCCGAGGCCGCCGCTGCAGCCGCCGCCGCCGCCGAGCCTCCGCCTTTCTCCGGGCCGGACACGCCCTCTGCCAGCAGCATGTTGTCCAGGCGCATGAGCTGGGGATCCGGGGGCTCCTCCTCCTGAGCGCCGCGGATACTCAGCACTGTGGTGAGAGCAGAAGGTCAGAGGTCAGTCGTGAAAAGGTCACGCCTACAGTGGCGTGGTGCGCCATAACAAGCTGTCAGCCGGAGAGCTGCAACCACCGCATCCACCAGCTCAGTGTGAGCGAGGCAGTATGTTGTAGCAAAGAAAGACACACAAGCAGAGACCGTTAGTGTAAAGTGTGTGTATTAAAAGGGAACGAGGTAAAGCTCTTCCTGCTGGAGACACAACTCGGAGGCTGATGATGAAGTTTTGTTCCTCGGTTTTGGCTAAACTTAGTTTTCTCTGTGTGTGTATACATCTTTAATTCTCCATCCATAGCATTAGGCTCAGTAATTAACCCCAGGACACAAAGCTCTCCGGTCTCCATGAGGATGCTCTGGCGTCATTCACCGTGCAATATTAACTGGATGGCTGATTTAATTAGTGGTGGAACGATTAATCAATGATTTGATCCCAAAAAAAGAGTGAATTTTAAATCATTTTTTAAGCTAAAATGCCTTCCAATTGTGAGGATTTGATGCTTTTCTCTGGTTGATCTCATTGTAAAGTCAATATCTTCGTGGTTTGGACAAAGCAAGACGTTGAAAGATGTCACTTTGTACTTGAGGAAATTTTATACAAGCGATTAATTGATTAATCGGGAAATGTATAAGGAAAATGATCGCAGGTGGCAGCCACAGATGCAACGAGGTACAGTATCTAGTTATGAGGGTTAGTGTTAGGGTTTGGGATTCACATTTATTCGGGAATGTCTTTCCCTCTCTGCTCCATTCTCAGTGCTGCCGGATCCATCCCATAATCCATTTATTTTCTTTCCTGTGTGTGTCTCTCCTGTTTTACTTACTTCCATCTTCTTTATAATGGTTACTATTAGCATCTCAGTTATTATTCTTAGCATCTATTTTTCATGCTCCTCCTCTATAGCTGCCTGAGTGGTTGCTGTTTCTGCATCCTTTGTAGTCAATTTGACAAGAAAATGTAAAGATAAAGTTCCCTAATACCGTGTTTAATTTCATCAGTTGAAAAGCGGACACATCGTACAGTGCACTTAATTTGTGTATATATAAAAAAAATATATATATATTTATATATATATAGAGTATATATATATATATCTTATTGGCTTTGATATGGGTCACCTGATGAACAAAATGTTCCTCATCCTTAAAACAGAGTGAGAAAAAAAACGGTAATCTTGAGATCCATCAACAATAGGCCGGGTGGATACCGCTGCCTTCCACTAGAGGTCTCCCTTGCCATTCTTTAAAAGACTCAAGTCCCACCTTCCATTTTCTGAGGTGAAAACACTCCCAGCCTCTGACTCTTCCTCCTCCATCTGAGAACCATCCATTTCAATATAAAACACATTCCCCTGCGTGGAGCGTCGTGCTGCTACCATTCCAAATTGATCCCGGTGTGGGTATCGAAAGCGCCTCGACGGCGGCCGGCCACAGGGCCAACGCGAGCCGTGACTCTGACTTCAACCCCACCCCCCCACCCTCCCCGCCTCCACCCTCCCCCCTCCACCTGGCCCCCCCCCCCCCCCCCCCGTGTGTCGATAGCTGTTTAAAACGCTACCGTTTGTCACTTGCCTTGTTGTCATTGAATGAGAAGGGACAGGCAGGGAGCACTTCATTAATTCAGAGACAATGGGAGCGCTTGGTGCATTAACCCCAGACTGCTGTCCGGGTTGGTAGGCCTAGGCAGGGGGTCACTAGGATGAGAATGAGGCCTGCTGTAGTCACCCCCCCTCCTTGCCTTTAAGTGGGCTAGAAATGCAAATATGGCAACTGTTGGCGAGTGGAAGAGGTCAGGGGTTCAGGCCACCGGCTCAGCAGGAGGTAGATTGAGTGTGGGAGGAGTGTTGGGTGGACAGGGTGGGGGTGTGGGGTCCATTGAGGATGGCGGGACTGTACAAACATCCTGTCTCATTACCCAGACTCCTTCATCACTCCGTAATGTATCGACGAGCTCAGAGGGGAAAATCTCAGATGGCTTCACACCCGCCTCACCTCCGCGGCTGCAAGCTGCGCCATGACCCGATCAAACCCGCTCCATCAGAAACTTTAAACCCACCTGTCCGCTCTAGTTAACGTACATCAGCAGAGGCCCCCGCCCGACCCCGGCTCCCAAGCACTCACCAGTATGGAGAGGCAGTTTTCCTCTATAGTTACCACCTCATAAATACTGGACTAAAGTGGGTGTTAAAATGAGAGCACACCACAATATCCCATGGAGCCAAAAAAAGGAGCTGCGCTTTCTGGAAGTCATTTTCCGTAAGGAAAGCAGCTGCTAGCAGTACATACTTAAAGAAGAAGGAAGAAAACTGACAAAAAGACCACAATAAGATGCTACATTTTGTATTCCAGGGTGGACTAAACACGAATTCCGAGATTCAGAAGACTCAAATCTTGATCTCTAAATTCGGCTCACCTGACCCTGCAACTCGCATAGGTAGATAAAATGTCAGGGTGGAAGCACATTTTAGATGTTCCTACTGAAAAAAGGAGGCCAGATTTCCTTTCCAAATTCATAAAACCTCTAGACTGTCAAATGAAAATGGAACACGAAAAAATCCCTGTGTCCAATAAAAACAAAAAAAAATGGATTCACGTCTGCCAAGTTCCAACTTAACATTCATGAAGTGTTTATTTCACTTGGCTGGAAGCATCTCCAACATCCGTCTTATAAGAGCGCCCGCTGCAGAAGAAGGTCATTTCTGAGGAGAAACCTCTTGGAAGGCAAAGAGAAAAACACTGCTGGGCCAACTTTTATTTTTTTGTTTTTGTATAAAGATGGACTGAAAAAAGGCTGTGGAAAGCAAACGACTCCATTCAACAGGGCCGGGTATTCAAAGCCAAGCATTATGCCCCAAAATAACTTGGTAAACGCGTCTTAAACTGACAATTAACACAAACTGCCGACGCGATCCCCAGGCCTCGCTTGTTGACACGTGTATACCCTCGCTAATCAACATCCTCTCCTCGTTCCCAGCTCCATTCTTGCTGCTGATCCAGCTGTCTTGGAGAGCATCTGTCAGGAGGGACCCAGGAAGGAACAATGCATTACGCCATGTTGGCTGTGTACTGTCATCCCTCATTGACAGCACATTGTCACACTTACACAGTGTCCTCTGAGCTGGCGAACAAGCTAAGTAGCTGCTGCCTATAATATCAGCTCTTCCCGCCGCCTCTTATCGTACGATCTGATGGGCATCCGCTCCGAGTGGGGTTAGTGTGGAACCCTGCGGGAAAGGATGCGACGGCGCTTCGTTTTTTAATTTAAGCGACTAATCAGTTTGATCCTCGCAACGACGACAGACATAATGGCAACAATCTCTCGCCTTGCGACGGGACGTTTCCCCACATGGAGGAAACCTGCAGACCTGCTGATGGAAGCAAACAACGATTTATTCATTCCACCCCTGAACCTAGAGCACATAATTAAAACCATGGAGGGATTATCTCAAACAAATAAAATTACTAAAGAAAAGAAAGGGATAATGTGCCTCCATAAAATTGGCTTTGCTGTGGGTCATAATTACACGACTCAGTGAGGGCCACTTTATTGGCTAATGGCGGCCTAATTGATTCATCCTAATGTTTTTTCCCTGAGCCTTGGGTCTGCTGGGCTCTCCCTGTCCAATAGTGCTGGTGAACTTACTTAGCCACCCGCAGACAAACACTGAAGGTTCTCCCAGGGATAAACAATTGTCTGCGTGTATGCTCGCCTCCCCCCCCCTCCCCTCCCCCTCAGTGAACACATATTTTCTGTATGTCTCTAATGGATGCCATTTCCCTCTTGGAGGCGTTTCAAAGATGGCCTGTTGTCAGACGAAGCCGTATTCCTCCCTCCTGTTGTTGACAAGCAATTCTCGCAAGGAGGTAAGCGCCGGGCTTTATTGCTTCACTTTATTCTCTGCAAATAAAAAACATGGGGTTCTTACATTTTGGTTTTTGGTTGCTGATGGATTCACTAATAACATACAGAACGCAGGACATAGCGTTACATGTGTTTCACGGTGCAAATGCATCTCTGCGAACAAGGGATGGGGTCAGGATGGGTGTGCACTGGTCAGTGGGTTTACTGTTCTGTGTACACACACACACACACACACACCACACACACCACACACACACACACACACACAGAGAAATTGTCACGGACATGAAAAAGACAGGAAAAGTAAAGCGGAGTGGCAGGACATGATGTTTATTTAACCCCACAACATCTGGCATTTTACAAATCAAATCGATCAAAAAAGAAAAGAATTAACGGGGCAGTTGGCTTCTGGAGAGGTGGATGTCTGGTTGTTTATCTGGGAATATTTATTTCACTTCCAGACTGAGGGGGGAAAGCTTTTGGTCTTTGAGGATAAGCTCGGAATATCATGCTTGGAGATGATTTACATCGGCATTTGGGGGGGGGGGGGAGCAGCCTGCCTAAACCCCCCTTCTTCCCTCCCGTTGCTTGTTTTTAGCAAGCACATGTGTAACACTCTCCCCATATATTAGTCATCCGAGAAGATTGGCTCGCGGCCTCATATGAAGACGGGCGTGTGTATTAAAATATTAATTGAACTACGAGCAGCGGAAATGGATCATCTGAGTACAGGGAGAGTCTTAATTGAACAAAGACCATAGAATAAACTCTCTCTGAGGGGGATGAACCGTGGCAAAATAAAAGTGGGTTGGCAGCCCTGGGCTAGCATCATAACTAGCCTCTGTGGAAAAACATCGTCACTGGGGGACGGACACAGGTCCGTTACAGATTGTCACATCATCTCGCCATACGTGACAGAAGTTAGTGTGAGAAATATTAGAATTGACAGCAAGTACAAGCAAGATCCAGGTCTAAAAATACGCTTTTTGAGTCAGTGACAATATTTGGGATGATATCAAAAGCTTGTCAGAGGATTAAGATTTCTTCCAGGACACTGCTTGCATCTTCAAAATGATTCAGTTTTTTTTTTTTTTCGTGGCATAACAATATCCGACT